GGACACAATATCTTTTATTTTATTTTTATGTGGTGCTGAGAACTGAACCCACTGTCTCATGCGTGCTAAGTGAGCACTCTTACCACTTGAGCCACAACCCCAGCTTTATACTGTATGTTTTTAACTTTTGCACTCCATTGCCTCTCAATCAAGGTTTTTTGCCATAACAAGGCTTTTCAGGTTAATAAAAATGCAGCAAGTCAGAAAGCAAGAAAACGGGGGGTGGGGGTAGGGGGGGTGGGGGTGTGGTGGGAATTCGGACATGGTATTCTTCATAATAAAAAAAACATGCTCTAAAAAAGGCCACCCTGGCCCCAAATGTTTGGAAAGAAAGAAAGGGATAGAAAGACTACTGATGAATAATTTTTTTTTTTCACTTCTCAATTCTCCCTCCCTCCATTTTATTTCTCCCTTGCAGAAACTTAAGAAGACTGATACATTATAGTACATGGACTATTAAGCAAATTCTTCTGGTGATAACAAATCAACTACGCAGAGATGCCAGCTATAATGGTAACTACCTATTGAAAACCTATTATTTGCTAAATACTTCACATACATTAACAGAATTTCTCACCCTGTAAGCAAAATAATATTTTTTTCTCACTTTACAGAATTAACAAAAGAGAATGAGAGGGCCTAAGTAATCTACCTAAGGTAATATAACTAGTAAATGTAAAGTGGTGGGATCTGAATATAGTTGAATGACTTCTATTCCTAAGGAAAACTGAAAATGGGAATAAAGAGAGGTAAAGAATGCATTTTTAATCAGAGCTGATGGAAAAATATAAACACACAAAAAATACACAGAGATATACTTGGCATTATTTAGAAATTTTTTTCTAAGTTAAAGGCACTAAAGTAAAATTTCCTTTTGTATAGAATATTTTTATCCACTGAAATATTAGAAAAAAATAATCACTGACTATATTTCCTGACTGATACAAGTACAGAAAACACTTAACCATTAGACATTTTAAAGATAGGAGTAGAGTTAAAAGCACTGTAGCACAAAATATCTTGTGACTTCTGTAAAATCTTAATTCTTGTACAAAAGGATTTCCAAGAGAAGCAAAGCAAAGGACCTAAGATTAGAATCTTGCATGCAGTTCTAACAATTGACAAGTCATTAACCAGGCAGCTCTACTCAACAGAACTTTCCATAATGAAGAGTGCTGAATCTGTGTTCTGTCCAATGAAAGCTTATCCTTTCAAGTAATCCTTCCTGGCCTGAGCTAGTTCCTTCACACACACTGGTCTGTACTTTTCTAAATATCTGAGGGTTCCTCCCACAAATCTTCAAAATTCACTCTATTATCTGGCTTTCTGTTTGTCCTCCTTACCTCCATCACCTCAACTCTGGTGGCTTTCTCCTCCGGTATCATACCTGGAAACTTAAGTGGACAGAATGCCTTTATTTTATTTGTTTATTTTTATGTGGTGCAAGCTCTGTACCACTGAGCTAAAGCTCCAGCTCCTGGAAACTCTTTTATGTCAGTAAGTAACAGTAATTTAGAGCTCAATTACTTTGTTACCTGTCTCTTCGAATCATCTTTCTTTGGTACCTGAAGTTGTGTCCTAAATACCATTGTTGGATATGTTTGTCTAGTGTTTTGGTTGTTTCAGACAGGTCTAAACTACTTCATTTTGACTACAAGCAGAATTGCATGAAGTGAATTTTAAACTTCAACTAATTCCATTGAATTTAAGTCATATGTATCCTATATTTATTGTATTAGATGGTATTAGAATAAAGACTCTTAACCAAGATCTAGCCAATAATACATAAGAAGTAATTTAAATTGAGAATAAGTTGATGGTGTTTCTTTCTTTTATAACTCTTTGTAAAACTATGCTTAGCCAAAGAATGATATATACCATGTGCTATGCTCAAACAGGCATTTAAGACTAAATCTAATGCCAATGTTATACATTCAATAAAACCCAATAGTGTTGACCACCTCCTAGATGCAAGACAACTGATTAGGTGCTCCTGGGGATGCAAAGATAATTAAGACATAGTTCCTGCTCTTTAAAGAAAATGCAATTTTAACAAGACTTGCAAAACAGAGAGTACCTAATGGTAAATGACATGGCTATAGAGCTGGGAAGTCTAATAAATACAGGACATCCAAGTGAGATGATTAAAAATGAAAAGAAATTATTAAACCAACATTCATTTAGTTTAAACGCCAAGTCTTGTACTAGTAACGGGATAGAAAAATGAGCACATATCCATAATGAACTCATGATTTAATTCGAGGAAATCTGAAATTCTGCAATGGTAGTAAGAACAAAAAGAGAATAACATCCTAGAAGAGCCAACCGCTTCCTCCAACCATTTCATTTCCATCTACATCCTCTTCCTTTTCTAATCTGGTATACATATCCCCTATCCAGCTAGAGTTGATTAGATCACAATAGACATACATTCAAGAGAAAACGCAATGTCTGATGGGATAAGCCAACCAAATTCTTTCATGAGACAGAATGGGGATTAAAAGAGTTAGTCATTGGTAAACCTAATATCACTAGGAGATGATAGAGAGCAAGGTTTTTTTGTTTGTTTGTTCCCTTTTCCATTTCCACTGCAGAGAAAGCAGTCTGCATTTATAAGCACACTTTCATGAGATCAGGGACTCTCCAGCATATACAGCAGTTCTCCTAGCACATACACTGCTTGCCTATAACTTTTCTCCACATTTTCATCCTTTTGCCCAGTTGTCATGGTAACACAGGGGCTATTATGTAAAAGAAGAAGGTGGTAGCACTAAATAGCATAAAAATAGTGATTCTCTAGTTGATGGACAAACTTTTCCATTAAATAGTTTGTATAGCTGTAAATTCTTTGATTTATAAGATAAGAAATAGTAATTAGTTGTTATTGTTGAAGACTTACGATAGGAGCCATCTGGGCTAATTTCCTCACTTATAACCAGGCAGGTAATCTGGGAATATGGTAAAGGATTGTTTCGATTATAGGGACTAACAATCATCCCAATGAACTTTGCACCTCCTCTGGAGAAGTAACTCTATAAAAAAAGTAAAATTAGTTTCAACTACATAAATTTAAAGGTCAGTATTTAATTACACTAACATCTAATGGGGGGGAAAGGGAACAAAAAGGTACATTATGAACTTCATATCCAAACATCAACAAAATGAAATGCTGCATGTATTCATTTCACACTGTGAAATTTTTAATTAATTAAATTTATTTAAATAATTAAATTTATTTAATTAAAATGTGTCAAACCCAATCTAAAATGATCCTTATAAAACATCACAAAGCTTGCAAAAATCTACATTTGCTATGAATATGTTTACTAATTATAATGGTTATTTTTCAACTATAATCTACAATAGCTGCCCACAGCTAAAACACTCATATATCAAACAAAATTGCAAGGAAAAAAAACTTGTTTTCTTTAGATGGGTAAATTACATGAATGTTTCCAACTATTTTAACTATTCCCTGTCCTAATTTTTCCTATCATTTTTAGAAGGCTCTGAGAATATCAGTATTACTTTTGTAGCTTGTCTGTACTAAACAAAATTGCTGACTCTCCAAATGCTTATACAAACATGTATTATTATTACAATCAGAGAAAATAATTCAATTAAAAAACCCAGATGAAAGAATATCAAAAACACTATGCTTATTAAAGAAAAAAAACAAAAAAGGATGTGTAATCATGTACAGCAGGCACACATACAATACCTATATACATACCTGGTATTTGGCTTGTGTGTCAATATCTCTTAAAGAAGGATTAGGATCAAATGCAGGATGAGAATGATACCATCCAATAACACTGTAACCTCTAACAGCCAAGGTTTCTGAGGCCTGTGTTTGTGATACAGGATCCATCTCACACTGTAGTCCTGTACTCAGACTGTTACATGGTTCTGCTGCACAGACCTATGAAGGATTGAGCCAATTATGATTATTCTGAAATCCTCTTAATTCTATCACTTGCAAACAAGTTATACTCCCAAAGTGTGATTGTATGCTAAAAACTTTGCATGCATTTTTCTATTTTAATAAGGTCATACTAATGGCTACTTTTCCAAATTGCACTGTATAATACAAGTGCTAAGGTGTTCAACAATTCCTGTTATTTATGGCAATAATTTCAAATTGATATGCAACAGAATAATGCATATCAACTTTCAACTACAAGTATTAATACATATTTTTGGCATCTTAGAGGAGTTATAGCTCTTTATTGATAAAGGTAGTGAAAGGCCAAGGCTTGGCAGTATTCTCTTTCTTGATGAGAAAAAGAAATAGGTGCTCAGTATATATGAAATGTAAGTCACTTCTGGGAATAATTTGCATGTTCTCACACATACAATAAGTAAAGTCTATTTTGATATAAATACTCCATAAAAATATTTAGTATGGCAGCAGGATTAGATAGTAATTAAAACATTTTTTTTAAAAGAAAGAACTTACTTCAACTATCTTATTAACTTCTGAGTATCTTCCTCCTAACAGACCAATTACTTCTGCCATAGAGACGTGAGCATGCTAGAAGAAATACAAGATTACTTAGCTCAAATGCACAAACCATCTGACAAAAATCAGAATTAAACTCACTATTATAGGAGAGTCACTTCTAAATACACCTATGCTATTCTAAAATAAGGCCACATAGGTTAACTAGATGTGAGTCTGAGCACAAATTTCATCTTTCTTCACTGCTGGCCGAGAAGTTTTGAAGCAAACACTTTAATACCCCAAGACAGCACTTTTTCATTTTAAAATGAAGACATTATTTGTTCTCCCTATTTAAGAAAAGCATTACAAGGACACAAAAGTAAAAATTACTTGGATCTTTCTACAGAAAACACCACAAACTTACACAACTGTTAGAGTATTGGTAGTTTATTGCAATCAAGGAACCTCCAAATTACAAGTTGTGCTTTGTTTCAGTACTCTAAAAAGGCAGCAGACATGAGACATTAGGAAATGAAAATAGGGTTAATGATGGCAAACAGTCTGCAAAACTCACATTAATTTATTTTCTCTAAAATATGGAAATATGCAATTGTATGGCTTTTCTTCAAAAGAAAAGACTTATTTTTAGATTCCTTGTCTTAAAAGAGGATAATAAAGATCCAAAATAAATGTCTTCCATACTCTTCCTACAATAAAAATACAACAAGAATAGAAATCAGAGTAAGTCAACACAATAGATTATTCTTACCAAATCCATTATTAAAAGTGCTTCTGAAGCTACTTTCACCTGAAATGGCTCCTGAAATTCAAAAAAAAAGGGGGGGGGCACATAAAAATAGAGATTGTGTTCTCCCCAACTCAAATGTCCACCCTTTTCTCATTTGCCTCTTTCAAATTCTCACCACTAATCAAAGTTCAATGCAAATCAGACTTTTTTAAAAAAGAAATTTACCCTTTAAAACCTAGCAGGAAGTAATTCCCTCTCATTTTCCATCTGTACCAATCAATTGGCCCTTAATATATCTTATCTTATCTGATCCTTTCATATACATATTTCTTACATATGCAGAATAAGACAAAGCATTTCTTGTCAGACAGTGACATTACCTATGGTTTGTCATTGATATATAAATAGTACCTGCTTTTCTTCACTGAAAAAATTACAAGGTATCAGTTGGAAGGGATCAAATGAGCTGAAAAGAAAAAAAAATACTTATTTTAAATATAACCCCAACAAGATTAGAATAATTATTAAAAATTATTTACAAATTTGAAAATGTACATCAATAATCTAAATTCAAATTCTGAGAAAAATATAAAATTAGAAAAATCACTTAGTACATTCATACAACCTTTTTGAAAGAAACCATAAGCAACTTAATTTCCTAATACCCAAAGAAAACAGGATAAATGGTCAGCCATGTTTCCTATGCTGAAAGCAGATTTTTAGAAGTTCCAGTAAAGGAAAAAGAAGAAGAAGTAGTTTCCTGACATGAGATACCAAAGTTCATGGATGTTTCTCAAAAAAATTTCTCTCAGTACAAAGTGCCCACTACAGAGTAGATTCAATGAATACTTTTAAAATAAATGAGTAACAAATAGTTCTATTAAAGAAATTAATGTACAGAGGAAGTTCTCTGGAAAACTCTTATTATATAAAGAGATGAAAAGGGAGAACCTAAGCAAATCTAAATAAAAAGGCCATGTGTAAACTTGAAAGACATGTCAAAAATGCTTTGATCAGTAAAAAATTGAGTTTGGGAAAAATATTAAGCACATTACAAGGTTATTTTAGGCTATACTCACAGAAAGAAAAACAAGCAAGAATATGTTCATGATGTTATGACTGGAAAAAAATAAGACTATTATGTTTCCACTGTACGAATGAGACAACCAGTGCCAAAAGGACATTGTGTATTATTTAATACTGTATCCCAAGGGCCTAGGACAGTGCCTGAAACACAGTAGGCATTCAAAAAATATTTGTTGAATTAAGAACTTTCAATTACCAAATAAAAAAAGAACTAAAGGCCAAGACAGATGAGAAAAATAAAAAGAACAATGGAAGAACATCCCAGAACATTTTAATAACCTTGAATGTAGAACCTCTGTCAATGCTTCTTGAGGGTTAGAGGATGGTGGATTGGCAATTATTGAACCCGGGGGCCCATGAAAAAGCAGACATCAGAAACAAGAATTAAATGATGATTACCAGGAAAACTCTAGAAAAGATTTTTAAACAGCTGATTTGTGAGCCTTTACTAAGTGGAGGGGTAAATAATGAGTTTAGGAAAATTTAAGTCATAATAAAGAGATCTTTCCATAGATACGTCTGATGGGGATAACTGGCTAGAAACCAGAAGACTACACGAAGATTCAAATTATTTTATCCAAATTTAAGCAAGACATACACTATCATTACTTTTCTGAATAACAAGAAATATGGGTTAATCCTGGTAATAAATGTATCTGACTATGTCTGATATTTATATTTATTCCAGTTAAACATTTTATGTGGCAATTAACAGAAGAAAAGGCAAACTTATTGAAATGTTGATGATTAGTGGCACAAAGGCTAAAATGTGAAAAGTAGATCTGAATTTGAAAAGGTCCTGACACACTGAATCGATTTGAAAATAAAAATATAAAGTATAAGTCTCACAAATTCAAAAAATCAAATGTTTGAATACTGAATGAAGAGACTTGGTTTACAGATGACTGTATTCATAGTCTAACATATTTTCACAATAACAGTATTTTTTAGTTTCTACTTCACAGAAGCAATATATAATGTAGCAAATTATATATTACCAGGAATATGGATTCTTAAGCCTTATTGTCTGGGCTTAAATCACAGCTCCAGCAAGTTACTAAAGCATCAGCAAGTTACTAAATTGCCCTTTGCCCCTCAGTTTTCATCTGTAAAATGAGAGTGATAACATCAACTATTACAGAAGGTTTCTATGAGGATTAAATGATTTAATATATGTGAACTGTTTAAAACATAGTGAACTGTATTAGCTATTTTAATTATTATTTCATAAACAAGAACAGGAGGTCTATCCAAGGTCACAAAACTTGCAAGAAAATGATCTAGTGACATTCCTGGGTATCTTGTTTTAAAAGGGAATAGTGACAAAACTATGATCTAATCAGTGGGATAGGTATCTGTAGGGAATGGAGAGGTCTTCTAGAAAACTTCAAGGCATTTGATTTACTTGGCAACCCTTATATTTTGCAAATTACACACACACACACACACACACACACACACACACACACACACACACATTTTTTGGTGGGGAAGGGTATTGGAGATTGAACCCGGGGGCACTTAACCACATCCTCAGACCTTTTTATTTTTTATTAAGACAGGGTCTCACAGAATTGCTTGTAGCCTTGCTGCTGAGGCTGGGTTTGAACTTGTAATCTTCCTGCCTCAGCCTCCTGAGTCACTGGGATTACAGGTGTGCACTATTGAACCAAACTAGTTCATATATATTTTGAGAGAACTAGTCACTTCCTGAGGTTACTTGTCCATGTCTGGAGTTGAATGATCTCCTGTCATAAACAAGGTCCTTTTGAAACATATATTGGATCCCATGCTCACTCACCTGAAGTTTAAAACATTTGATTATAGCAACAAAAAAAACCCCCCCAAATTTTATAATTATTTTTAATTAAAAAAATTTTAACTGATCCATCTTAGTAAATAATAGCATAATGTAGCCAAAGGTCATTTGTCTATACATTTTCTGTCTGATAAGTTAAAACAATTAAATTTATATAACGTAACACTGTACCTTTTTGTTGGTCTTGACACTTTTGAAGGTTTAACAGGTTTGCCCCTTTCCTCTTCTCTTCTTTTTGCCAACTCCTCAGCAGACAGATGCTAAAACAAAACACCAATTGTTATTAAAGAGTCCATCAACTACACAGAGGGAAAAGTAATAAAACAGTCTTTTAAAATCAATTTAAGAACATGTGAGAATAAGATAGACTAAATTGACTTAAATGGGTCTCCTACTGGAGAATTTTTTAAAAAATTATTTTAAATAAAACAGCCATATCAAATTGAAAATATAGTCCTCTGGATATGCCCATTTCAATCAATGGTTTCAATCACACAGGTTAAAGAATCTTAGAATTATTTGAGTCTTTTAGTTTACCTAGTTACTAGTTACTAAGTTCTACTGTGCAGAATTTTCTTTCACAACTGGGACAGCAGTGTTAAGATTAAGAACACATATTTTGTAGGGTGTGGTGGCACACACCTGTTATCAGCTCAGGAGGTTGAGGCAGGAGGACTGCAAATTCAAAGCCAGCCTTGGCAACTTACAAGGTACTAAGCAACTCAGCACAATTCTTGTCTAAAAAAACAAAAAACAAAAAACCATAATGGGTGGAAATATTGCTCAGCAGTTAAACTGCCCCTGGGTTCGATCCATGGTACCAAAAACAAACCAAACCAAACAAAAAAAAACCCTCAAAACAAAAACAACACAGTTTCTAAAGGCTGAGAGTGTAGCTCAGTGGTAAAATGTTTATTTAACAAGCTTGATGCCCTGGGTTCAATCCCAGCACTTGGGGGCTGGGTGCAAACTCCAGAAGGATTCTAGAGCCAGAATGCCTTACTCTGCTCTTTATTATCAAAAAGTTGATTTCAGGGCTGGGGATGTGGCTCAAGCAGTAGCGCGCCTGCCTGGCATGCGTGCGGCCCGGGTTCGATCCTCAGCACCACATACCAACAACGACAAAGATGTTGTGTCTGCCGAGAACTAAAAAATAAATATTAAAAATTCTCTCTCTCTCTCTCTCTCTCTCTCCTCTCTCACTCTATCTTTAAAAAAAAAAAAAAAGTTGATTTCATGCTTCAGTTTACTCATCTTTAAAAATGGGAAGATTAAGAGTAATAATAACAATATCATGGTATTACTGTGAAGTTAAGTGAGTTAATGTTCATACTTCACTAATTTCATCTTTATTACCAACCTTACACCTTAGCTGAGATAAGCTAATGCACCTTTTCCAGAATATATATATATATTTTAGTGTTTTCCATGTCTGCACCTTATCCACTTCCTCAGATAGGAATATTTTAATCCACTTTCAAGATGATTCTTCTGTTGATATTTTGGATCAAATACCACCTCTTCTGTGGAAACCTACCCTGATCATAAGTCTTTGAGAGGGCCTTATAATTCATGGACCAACCTTATGTAACTTGGCATAGGTTGAATAGAAATACAAGTTCCTTATGGTAAGAAACCATGTATTACTTATTATTGTGCCATGTATTACTTATTATTGTGCCTTATTATTGTGTGTTCAGGTGTTAAAGTTAGGGCAGGAAATGGGGATTGAAGAGAGAGAGCCAACATTTATCTAGTACATTATGCATGTTGGCTTAGTGAGTATCTAATACTAAGACCTTTATATACTTCATCTCATTTACTTCTTACAAAAATCCTTCTGTGGAATACTATTATTCATGTTTCATAAATTTAAAAAACACACAATTCAGTGAGGTTAAGCAGTTGCTCAAGGTAACAAAGCCATTAAAAACACAATCATGTATTCTTTACATTCTACTGTACTGGCTATTTAGAACAATTTATATATTTAGAACAGGATGTGCATGTGTATATACACAAACACAAACACAGTTACTGCCTCTGTTTCTTTTTAGGAATTAGTAGAAAAACATTTCAATATTTGTATATCAATGTCTAATGTCTAGAAAACATCATTCAATAAGTATTTAATGAAGTTAAACAGGCATACCAACTCTTTGACTGGGCATACATTCTTGAACTAGAGATAAGATGTACAGGGAGAGAACTGAAGTGCTGAAAATAAGTCAGACTCCTAATTAACTGTAGAAACAAAGCTTTCCATTGTGTGGCTTACTAAAACGTCTAGACGAACAAATTAACATGGGACTAAAGATGTATATGTGTAAACACATGAAACAACTATAATATTATGACATTAAGATAGACAAATGTATATTGACGAAAACAGTTTTCATGGATAGCCATGTAAAAGGTCAAAATTACCTCAAATGTTTGTCCTTCTAAGTCCTTTGCATCACACCAGTTTCCCCATGGATCTCGAACCCTTCGTCTCCTTGTTCGCTATGATGAGAATAAAATAAAGCAAAAGGTAACAAGATTAACTTGGAGAAATGATAGCACAAAACCAAAATAATAACTATATAAAATTTAGTTAACTTATTCATTTAAATATTATCATCTCTGATCATCAATGACTCACTAAACTTTATTAATTTATGTTCAACAGTTAGTACTCAGAAATACAACAGTAATTGTGAGCTACGGGTGAAAGCAATGGCAGCAGGTGAGGAGAGTAGGCCAGACGATGAGGCAGAGACATTGTTTGAAAAAAAAAAAAAAAATCTGTGATCTTCTGTCCTTTACTTGCATTTAATTTTCACTTCTGTTTATCATTTGGAAGCTAAAAACCTAGGACAAAATTATTTTTACGACCAGAAAGAACCACCAAGGAAATGGCTTCTCTTTATGTCAGCTTTAGAAAGGGGACTATGAAGTTAATACAAGTAGTGAAAAACAGAATTTGTTGATATTACTAATATTCAGTTTTACAAACCTCAATACTGAGACCTTTAAGATGGATCAGCTATGAAAGGGCAGTATGACCCGTATCATTTCCAGAAAGAAAAAACATCCTTTCTTAATAGAGTAAACCTAGGTAGAAGTGGTTTGCAGCCTCAACAATGAGAAAAATAACTACTAGATAATATTTTTGTTCCCCCCATACATTTTACCTATAATCAACTTAACTTACATGCACAACAAGATTACCTTTTAAATTTTAAAATACAAAATTCACTGATTCTAACAATTAAAGGTAAATGTTTCTCCAAAAAACTGATTCTTATGGAGACAATTTTTAAAGACACAAAAATAATAGAAATGAAAGAGAAAAATAGACCTGAACTATATATATATATTTGTTGTTGTTGTTTTCAGTGGTGCTAGGGATTGAGCCCAGAATCTCCTGACCTAGGCAAGTCTCTACCACTGAGTCCCATCACTAACCCCCTGAACTGTAAAGTTTTAAAAGATACATTTCTAAATCAAAACTAAACACCCAAAACCACTTTAACAAAACATTATGGCTTTGCATGTTTGTCAATGAATTTTGAGGATTTTACAGTTGGTTTTGCTTCATAAACCAGTATGAAATTGAACAGAAGCTAGAAAAATAAATGGCTATGGTGAAGTGTAATAGAAAACATTTTCTTCCACTAAATGGCCATTTGTTAAGCAGATAAAGTAGGCATTCTTTACTAAACTGGTAAGGAGCAATGTAGAGGAATCACTTAGAAAAATGGCTGTTTACCATAGACTGCAGACGCTGGGCAAGCTGGTATGCTTCTACTGCATCTTTTCTGTCTCTGATTCGAACTTTATCAACTGGTTGTGGTCTATTATATACAGCCTGTTCTATTGGAGTTCAGGAAAGATAAACAATCTATTATTTTGTGAAGTTCACTTGTTAAAGAGGAAGACACATTTACAAAGACTTTAGCTGAGCACCAATGATTCTTATTCCATAATCATACATTTAATGTACTAATGTTATAGTTCCCAGATAAAAGTAATGCTATTATTAAAAGGAAATTTCAATAAAACGGATATAATTTATTTATAATTTTTGACTACTAAGCTCCCTTTGCTCACTTTGGTAGTCAAATACAGATCATTTTTCTTTTGTAGCTAAGGAGGCTAAAATGTTTTAATTTTCCTGGAAAGCTAATTTATAAATAAAGGGCTTTGGGCAAACCAGGCCACTGAAATGAAAAAGAGGCTCCAAAGCAGACTATAAATTCTCTGTGCACATAAAATAAAATAAAGGTGATATGAGTTTTCTAGTTAGTTGTTTCACTTTCACAGAAAAGAAACAAAAGTACTCCTCTTAAATAAATCATGGGCTCTAAGACTCTATCTAGTTACCTTATGACTATGCAACTATGGCTATTAGCTTTCTTCAAAAAGTTTTTGTCATGTCAATTCAATGAAAAGATGGAATACATTTTGAAATATGCCCATTCCTCAAATTTAAATATGGGGGAAAATGGGTGAAAGAACTTTCTTCCATTAAAATATTTTGGTACTTTTGATACATTTAAGTGTGGAGGCTCTTAAATTATTTCCTTTATTTAATCATTGCTAGATAGCATTTCTATCGTAAATACAGTAAATGGTAGAGTAACCCTTACCCTAAATGCTCAAAGCCAGAAGTACTTCAGATTTCATACTTTTTTTAGATTTTGGAATAATTGCATGGAAATGCTCCAGTGTCTTTAACTTTTTAAGCACCATGTTGGCCTCAATCTGTATGCATAAATTTAATGGGCCATTAATAGTTTTCATAAAATTATTTACTTTTGCCTTACAAAGAACTATACTATTTCTATTAGATTATTTTTCCTTTAAAAACTATACCTTCAGTTTTCATTGTAGATCAAAAAGAAACACAGTTTAATCAACAAAAATTTGATTTACAGCAAAATCGTAATTATACATTTTTTCCATAATGGTTACCTCCTTGAATTCTATATACTTAAATTTACTTAAATTCTAATCGTAATAGAAATTAATGGGTGCTATAAGGATACAAAATATTGAGTAAAAGATGTTGTTGGATTTTTATTTTTACCACATCCAAAATTGATTGCTCCTATCAACTCGAGGTATGTATGAATCCGTCCAATACAATTAACATCCCCACAGTTCTTCAGGCCAGGACGTACTGAGGTCTTATTTAGGTATTTCGGTTTGCATATCTCCCTAATTAAGAGATGGAAATACAATTATTTTGGATAAATAAAAACATAAAAAAAAGATTTCTGGGAAAAACTTATATTATAAGAAATATTTAAAAATTTTACCCATTTCACTGTATAAAGTGTATAGAAAATATAATATATAACCCAAGTGTACTTTTTTCTAAAATCTTTAAACATCTTTAAGTGATGCAATAACTTACAGGTACCTGTACTGTGTTTTACAAGTACTATTCTTTTACTAATAAAAAAGTCAATATTCCAGTTATTCCAGGATCTTTAAATTAGAAGGTTATTTATGTATTGATCCAAATTCAAGTATAAATATTTGAAAAAAAGAGCACTTTGACAATATATTAAAAAGATTTAGCACTAAACTTTTCAATTTTTTTTTTTTAGTGCCAGAGAATGAACCGAAGGCCTCCACACAGGATAGGCAAACATTCTAGTCCTGAGTTCTATCTTCCCCTACACTTTTTCTAATTTTTAAACATATTACTTAGGTCAGATGTCTCTTAACTATTAGCTATCTTACAAATATTTACATTTTTATATTCATTTTAATAATGAATCTAATAAATATTAAGTTCTTACTCTCAGTGGAAACAGAAATAGATATTATAGGGGATTCCAAAGAATCAAGACACTCCCAAAACTCCAAACTTCCTTTCCTGAACTTCATAGTTTTAAAATGTGTATTTATTTGAGTAAGCTCTATACAGTAAATAAAACACAAGATAAAATAATGAAGAATAAGAAGATATATTAGGGTGGTCAGAAGCCTCTCATTTTCCTGCACAGACCTGAATTGAGATGAGAAAGCAAGACTCTCTAAGATCTGGAGGAAAGCAAGATCTAAGACAGAGTGGTCAAGGCCCTGAGTTGGAAATGACTCTGAAATCATCTTCACCTAGTGTGATCTAGAACAAGTTCCTTATCCTCTGTGAACCTAACTTTTCTCATCTGCAAAACGAGGACAAAATTGTCAAGAGGATTGGGATAGCTTAAATATAATGCCTGACATTTGGTAGAAATTCAGTTAACTGTATAGATTATTGTTTTAATAAAAACATTCCTCTAACCAGGGAGTCAGTTACATCTACTTTTATGGAAAGGATTTATCTAAAAACAAATTTGGCAGACTTCTTTTTATTTTGAAAACTTTAAGTCTTCCTTTCTTCTTTTTTTATTTTTTAGTACCACCTCCAGTCCCTAACCAAAATTTCAGTTCTGTTGAAAACATTCCTTTTTGCTTTCACACTGTTCTGTTAAATTATCATATTTAAATAGCAAAACCAAATTGGTTTCAAGAACTAAGATAAACGACTTACTAAACTACTGCCATATCATTTATATATCTATGTAAATTATTCTGCCTCATATGGAATCCAAAATGCAAAGCAACAATTTGATTAAACAAACATTAAGTATATATTGATGATCTTCTTATAAACATTTTATTTATTTATTTTTGGTACAGGGGAATGAATTCAGGGAGAGACACCCAGCTACTGAGCCACATGCCCAGCCTTATTTTGTATTTTATTTGGAGACAGAGCATCGCTGTTGCTGAGACTGGCTTTGAACTTGCAATTATCCTGCCTCAGCCTCCTGAGCCAGTGGGATTATAGGGGTGTGCCACCAGGCCTGGCTCATATAGACATTTCAGAAGTACTTATTGTTCTGAAGTCCTTCAATTTTGGCTACCCATCTTCTTATTTCCAAAAATAAAAGTAAAGACCAATAGAAATCTCATTCCATTGATCTTTTAAAACGTAAGGGCAGAAATGTAGCCCAGTGATAGAAAGTTTGCTTGGCATGTACAAAACTTTGGGGCACAATCCCTAGCACTGCAAAAATAAATCAAAAAGGGCTGGGAATGTTGGTAGAGTGCTTGCCTAGCATGAGTAAGGCCCTGGGGATGGGGGGAGGGAGGGAGAGAGGGAAGGGAGGGAGGAAGGAAGGAAAGGAAGGAAGAAAGGAAGGAAGGAAGGAAATAAATGAATCATCAAATAAATAAATATACTTTTAAAAATAGTGTCAATTAGGTAATGTAGAATAACAAAAAGACTTGGACTAACATCTTTCATAGTCACTGGCTGGTTGTGTAATCAAAGACAGGCCTCTAATGGTCACCTGATCTCAGAATTATTCTTCATCAAGTAAGATTATACCATCTGTCTGTTTCACAGTATTACGGTGACAAGTCAAATGAAATAAAGGAAAGCTTTCTGTAAACTGCAAAACACCATGTAAATGCTAGGAGTTGTTCCTCCTCGATATTCTTTACTATGATAGCAACACTAGCCAGAAGTCGTACTTTTAGCACTTTAACCAACTAAAATGATCATGAGGCAAGAACAAGAACAAATCCTCCTGTTGGAATATGGCTGTCTTTGCAAGTCAAATAACGTAATACTGTCTGTATAAAATGAAGACATCTGATTCAACAAATTATTTGTTTCCTTTGATAACATCCCCAGGATATAGCATAAAGTTACTGAAACAAGATAGAAAGACCTGATAAAGTGAAAGAGAAAAACAAGGGACACTGCTGAATCCTCACCCAAGGGCCCATCACCTGGAAGCGCTCCGTAAAGTTGGCCATATACAATTCAATATTCTTGAAACAATAACAGCAAATTGAATATTTAGTGATGACTTAACTGATAAGCTACAAACAAAAATTCAAAATATTTTTGAGTATTTAGGCTAATAAGATGAGAAGTATTTTGCCTTGTTTCCTATTCCATATTAATTAAAATATACTGACAATTTAGAAGGTAATTCCATACATTAGAAAATTCCTGTATTCTGATGAAGGTAGATGCTAAGAAATACCTTATTATGCAACAAGTTCAAGATGAAAACAAGACAGCTATTTAGGAAAACTATTTATGCAATCTAGCTACATTTAACGACAGTGTATTCCTCTGTCACCTAAGTTTTCCTTCTTTATACTTAAGGTACATAAAATTTCTGAAAAAAAATTCTCTGTGTACATCTTCCCAACACTGTCCCAAGAAGCTGCTTCTTAAAGGAATCATCAGACCTTTTCTTTCCAGGCTCCAAAACTCTGAAGAACAGATGGATTATGAGAGCCATAGGTTACAATGTTTAGCAATGCTTTTAAAAAAAGATCACTATGAGAAATGTTTAATCTTTCCTCCTGAAATGATAATACATGTGAAAGCTCTTTGGATCACTAGCAAAATTTTAAATTCTACATAGGTCTAGTTAAAATACTCCACAGAATATCAGGTTTTCAAAGCAGCATCCAAAATGTTATTCTTACCACTGATCCAAAATGTAATTTCTAATTTTCAAATAGCGTTCTGGTGTTTTAGCTTGGCGTCCCTCAAAAAACTCAGGAATTGCTTGTTTTTCTTCTTCCTGAATAATATTTCTATCTATTTCTACTTCTTGTTCTGGTGGCTTAAGCTCTTCTTCCTCATGGCTTTCCTCCACCATTTGGCAGGAAGAATGAAAAAGCATTTCATTATCACTAAAATCTTTCTGAATTTCACAAGGCTCTGGAGAAGGACACTGCCTGGAGTCATCTATTCCATTTCCACCTTGCTTGTCACCATTTTTAATCAGTTTATTGCATTTCTGATCATTTACTTCAGCTGAGTCATTTTCATTGTTGCTCTGTTTTTTGGTCCATGATGTAATTTCTGAGCTTGAAAGTGTTTTCATCTCATCTTGTTTTATGTTCTGAAGATATTCCCTGGAAGATCTGCAAAAGAGAATTTCCTGGCTTCTGATTTCTTGTCTGGATTCATGTGTTTTACTATTAGGAATGTCTAACAAGAGACCACTGCTACAATTCTTATGTGATGTCTGAGAAGCCCACTCATCCACCTCATCTGTGATGTCTACTTCTTCATCATCAGACAACTTTTCAATTTTTACAGCATTCAGGTTGGGATCAGCACGTCCCCTTAAACATGATGGTGTCCATGCCTTTGTCCCTTTATCTTCATTTTTAACCTGATGATCACTGCTGCTCTTCTGATTTGGTGTTTCTTTCTCTGGACTCCATTTTACCTTATTAAAAATCAGAATAAGACACCCATAATATTACGGTTTTAAAATTTAATCAACTGACAATAAATAAGATATAATGGTACATTAGACCTTCACTGTGCTTCTCCTTAATGTGTTTAAAACTGCTTTTTAAATGTAAAAGATCAACATTTTAAATTCCCATATATGACTCTTGATTTGGTACTTTTAAAATAATAATGATCTATATAGAACTACCATGTATTTATTTTCAGTATTAAGTTTAAAATAGGCTTGAACTAACCAGAGACTAAACCAACAACTTTCACATTAAGGTATTCTATAAGATATTAAAAATATTTATAAAAGTCTACTTTTCAAAATGACAACCACAGCTGATCATTTCTTATGATGCTAAAATAATCCTTTACTTGGGAATTTATGTCACATATTTACATTCAGTAAGTTCAATCCATCTTTCATTCAACTATAGAAACTATTTTTTTGCAGGTTAACTTAATGCAGCTTCAATATTACAGAGTTTATAATGTTAAGCCATGGTATTATCTTCCACTCCTGATAATACCTGATAATGAAAGAAAAAGATGAAAGTCAATGAGTAAATATGAATTGAAATGAAAGTTTTTATATATAATATTTTTGGAAAATCCTGTAAATGACTGACACATCCAAGAGATATGATAGCTCTAAGTAACAGATAATAGCTCCATTGTCACAAAAGAATCCCAGGATCATGTAAAAAACAAAAGGGTAGTAGGGGGAGGAGGAGATTTGGACATATAGCCTCAAATACCATTAAAAGTCTTCTTATTTATTTGCAGCCTACTACATTTTAAGGTTTTCTGTTTGTTTTGCATTTCTGGGAATCAAACATGGGGCCTCATGCATGCTAGGAAGAACTTTTCTGAATGAGCTAGATTCCCAGCCCTCAGCCTCCTGTTTTTAATCTCAAAATTCTGGATGAAATTTTGCATTAAAGTTAATAAAATTCTAATGTCTGTTATAATATAAATGTATCCTTCCACCCCATATTTATAAGTACAACTGATACTCCAACTTATTCCACATATTCTAATGTAAGAAGCATGGTATAAGAATAATCAGGTGAAGCTGTTTTTCTGTTCCTTATTACCTCAACCTTGATAAACTACTTCAAGTTGCTTTTGTTAGGTTGAAAGAAGTAGCAGCTAATTACTATACAATGAATACATTCCATTACTTACCACCTATTCCCAGCTAACACCAAGACAAATATTGTATACAAGTTAGAACACATTAGTTACATTAAAACACCAAATTTCACTCAGGACATTTCCAAATTTTATATACTTGCATATTTAGAGCTCAAGCAAAATATGTTAAAAAGTTCTAAATATCAACATTACACAGCTGAATATAGCACAAATTACTTGAAAGATTAAGGAATTATATGTCTTTCTGAATATTATTTATTAAAGTTTTCAGAAAATTCTCCACAAAATTTATAAAAACCTCACTACTATTAAATAGATTCCAGAATCATGTTAGCATTTATGTCCTCTAAGCTGTAATAATAGATAAAAGTCTTTATAATGCAAATACTTAAAAAAGAAGAGATATTGTTTAGAGGAACACAAGACCTCTAAGCTTTTCTCTTAGGAATAATCCTTGCCTTCTAGAATGTTTTGGGTAGTTAATATTTACCCTTAAACTATAGAAAATTAGGTAGTATATAAATACTATTTAATAGCAACAGTTAAACAACTAAAGATATACTCTAACGTGTTTAAAGTCAAACATGCATAGTGTTTTATGAGGTTAAAATACTTTTAATATAAAACTTTAAACAATAAGACACTAATACTTACATTATATATTTCTGGTTACTAATTTTGTTCTGCTTACCTTATTTTTAAAGTATTGTCTGGCATAACTCTTTACTTGTAAAACACTGCGACTTCCAATCAGCTTTGCAATTTTGGTCCACCTTCGACCAAATTTAGCCTGTGTTATCAAAATGGAAAAAAATTGCTTTTGATTAGCTTACTTATTAATATTTTAAGCAATGGCAAATTTGAAAAACAATTAAAACTATCTTTATCTATAGACTAAACCAAACAATGAAATCCTCCCTATAGACTATGCTCTTTCAAATCAAAAAGCTCTTCCTTGAACCTGGACTTCTGAAAACAATCCAAAATGATTTTAAAAATCATAGAAAATAATAATATATATGAAGATCCACCACTTATGTTACCTAACTGTATACATTCATACAGCACATTATGATGTTCCAAAATCTAAGATATCTTTTTAAAATAAGTAAGTGCTCAAAAAGGAGGTAGGTGAACGTTGGACATTTAAAGGATCAACTGAACATGTTTTGCACTAATCACAAAATTTTCAGAACATCCATTGTGCCCCACTCAGACACTTTTACTCTATACAAGTATCAGTGCAATGACTTACAAGTTTGAATCACGAATGAAGTATACCTGTATTTAATGCCTCCCTCTTAGTGTCAAGGCTGTGCACCTGCTAACACTGAAGCTGTGGGGAAAATAAACTGGGAACTGGAGGGAGCTCCCATGTTTCGAAGTACAGAAAGGAATACATACAATTTTATACAAAAGAGATTTTTAGGTATCAAGTACAATTCTCATTTAAAATGTAAATCCTCTTTATAATATCACCACACAGAATACTTTCTACTTTTCAAAGTAGCTCAACCATTTCAATTTTTTAGAATTCTTATAAGAACAAACAAACACAAAAAAGAAAAACCACCCAAAACTCAGGGAGGTAGACCCTAGAGGCAGATCCACAGGTCAAACAGTCACGTCTTATCAGTAACAAACAATAACAAATCATCTTCAAAGATCTGACCTGAATGACAAACCTTAACTTACACACTTATTTCTGATATTCATTAGAAAATCTGACATGAACAATTTCTTAAAACTGAAAGTACTTCTGAGAAAATTGTTAGTATGAATTAATTACTAAAGATCAGCACTTAATAAGGAGCACTGGCATAAGCCTGTAATCACAGCAACTCAGGATGAAGCAGGAGGAGCACAAGTTCTAGGTCAGACTTAACAATTTAGCAAGGCCCCAAGCAACCAAGTGAGATCCTGTCTTAAAATAAAAACCTAAAAAGGACTAAGGTGGTAAAGTGCCCCTGGGTTCAATCCCCAGTACAATAAAAGAAAAAAGAGATCAGCACCTAATTGAGACTAACTTACTGAAGAATTAGTTCTCTTTTTTTGTGTGAGTGGGTAGTAAAAGCAGTTAAATAACTTGATAGCACAGAATGTTAGATCTAGAGATCTAGATAAAAGTATATCACTGGGGACATCAGAAATTTGGACAACATGAACTCTGGAGAAAAGATACTATGAGAGTAGCAAGGAAAACATGCACCAATTTCAAAATAAAGGGACAGTCCACTGCCAAAGGAAAATAAGAAAAAACCTTCCTTAGTTGTTCAGTACCACATAATTCCCTTCTTGTATGCCGGAGAGAATTCAGTATATATGCAAACTCTGTTTTTTGTTTATGAAAGCATTCTAATTCAAATATCTCTTAATGTAGATAGGTAGATTTCTACATATCTCTATATAAGTAAATACATATTTGCTTATAAATGGACAAAATAGGAAGGATATACAACACTGATTACTTCAGAAGTGAGAGGGAGACTTAACACCCTATAGCTAGATTACTTTTGACTTTTGAGCACACAAATGCATTCCCATAACTACCAACAATGTCAACAATTAACAACCAAAAAATGGTTGAAAACAAACTATTTCATACATATGTATATCTGATCTTTATAAGGGACAAAACATCAAAGCTGTCAGCAGACTAAAATAAATTACTGGTTAATTAAAATTAGACTATGATGCAACGGACTGAAATACCAATATAGGAAAAAAATCACCAGTACGGGAAAAAAACCCTCAATATTGTTTAGTATTTACAGAATTTATAGATACCATGGTTTTAACTAGAAAAGCAAAACATTTTATTTCTCATCATCTATAGAAATGTAAATATTTCAAATTGCATTTACAAATCTTAAATAATTACACAAATATTATATATATAATTTCTAAAGTAATTTATAAAATACAGAGTAACAAGTATCTTAAAAGAAAATACATAATCTACTCTTGCTAAAGACAAATTTCCTGAACATTTTTGTTAAAAATTTCTTCATATTAAGGAATATTTTCAGAAATGAGCATACATCTTTTCCCCATTATATAATCTATGTATTTTTAAATAGATTTCAGTGAAACATTCATACAAAAGACTGTTTTGTATGAATTTATTTTGCATGAAATTATTCTGGTCTTCATATCTATGCATAAAACATTTGCCTGTGTACATAATGGCAAACAGTTTATTAAAGAACAACTCAGCTGATCACCCAGCTTAACACAAAGTTTCAGACAACTAAATATTTTACCTTTTAATCCAGAGAGTTGGTGTCATGTATACAGATAACAGCACAATTTCTTGGATTTTACTAATACCCCAAAAATGTTTATATCGAAGTACTGATTCAAATCTATTTTAGTACCTTAGTTAAAAGGAATTCTCTTGTACTACACTATAAACACCATTACTCTAACTACAGAAAAACTCAAGCTGTTAAATAAATTTAATTAAAAGCTCTGGTCTCTATGATTTAATCTTATAACTCTATCAGTATTTGCTTTTAGAATCATTTTTACTATAAATTAAAAATTGCTCTATTTACCAGCCCTTGTTCAAACAGCTCTTTTTCTTCTATCGTCCACTTTACTGAGTAACTGGCTGGTTTGGTAGGAGAGTGTACCCTGAGGGGAAAAAGAGGAATTGCAAAAAAATTTCTGAAATGGAACATTCCTTATGTATGCAGCTAAAGATTATAGATAGCCATGGGCTAAAACGAATCAAAGAATTAAAAAATGAAACAAAAAAAAAAAAAAAAGAAGAAGAAGGCTACAGCCTCTACCTAGGGGGAGAGATTTACCCTGTCATGTATCTCTACTATGGATGATATGAACCCCAAAAGAGATAATCCCCAGGTTTGAGTGAGGATAAAACTAAAGACATCAAAGGAAGTCAATGTAATAACCAACAAAACAGCCCTCTTAGAATGAATACAAAGCAGCAGGTGTTAATACATTCCCCAATCCTAAAGGTATCTAAGAATTTACAATGATTCCAGAAATATCTCTGATTTAATTACTAGGTAAATCCATATAAATACTGAGCCAGAAAAGAAGTTGCAAAACCATGGCATTACACTTACTGCTTTTAAAATCATTTTAGTAAATTAAAAATAAAATGCTGATGAAGCTAATTCACTCAAGTCATTGATCTTTCTATTAATTTCACATTGTTATTGTTCACTCCACAAAATACAAACATCAAAGGCTGCTCAGCGGTCAAGTTCTTGCACAATTACCACTATATAAATTATATAAATCCATTTTTTTTTATACTGGGGATTGAATACAGGGGTATTTTACCACTGAGCTGCATTACGAGTCCTTTATTTATTTATTTTGTTTGTTTAAATTTTGAGATAGGGTCTCAATAAGCTGAGGGTCTCACCAAATTGCTGAGACTGGCCTTGAACTTTCACTCCTCCCACCTCAGCCTCTGAAGTTGTGTAGGATTACAGGCCTGTGCTACTGGGCCTAGTAATCAATCCATATTTTAACCAACTATATACTTACAAGTTTATAATGCTAAATAATTTTTTTACTTACAAGTTTATAAATGCTAAATCAATATTTTCCAATTATTGGGAAAAAATATTTGTAAGATAAAGTTTCTAGATAATGCTTGAAAGCCATAAATCCAAATTAGATTTCTGCTGAAAATTAGTTAACACAGCAATAGAATTCAAGTTAATATACAATGTATTAGGTAATAGGTTTCTTAAAATTTACCCATAAATCTCTATGAATCTATCTTTCCCATAATTTGATGAATTTGCCTCTATGGGTCACAAAAGAAATTCTAGCTAATAAATATCCACATACTTATGGCAAAATTCTTACATCTGTACTAGAAACTCTGTTTTTATATTTATTTTGTTTTTTAATCAAGAGGGCTTTTCCTCAAGATAACTATAATTTTTGAAAAATATTCCATAATTTTAAATGATCAGAAAGATTTTAAAAATATAAAACAGAAGTACATACATGATTTTTGCTGTTTTCTGCAGACTGCACCACATGAAAAAAAAAAATAAGGAAGCTTGAGAAGAAATTTCTAAAAATGCATTTATATGTTTAACAGTTTAAATTGATTTTACCTGTTGATTTGTTTTTTATTATCTTCCTTTTTATCAAGCCAGAATTTTCCTGGAAGTGATTTTTTAGATAAATAATACCTGTATGATTATTAAGGACACTTTTAAAATAAGATTAATCTCATAAAACTTTTGTGTGACATATAAAATTGGCATTTATAGACTCATGAAAGTCATACTTTGTTTGACTTGGAAAACTTGAAATTGGCAAAACCAATTCTGAAAGCCTCTTCTAGGTCCGCAAAAATTATGGTAAAAATATCATACCTCAGTGTTGTTACATGTATAAATTATATGTAATATCACACAATGCCTGCACAAAATGTGCTACGTAAATGCTAATTTCTCTTATCTTCTCTATTAGAAGTGAGAAGAAATAGACTTACTGTTTAAAACTTTTTTTCTAAAATATACGGAGAGTATAATAGATGAATTAGATTAGTTGTCTACAGTAATTTGAGAATATTGTTTCCATATTTCTAAAGATAACAGAGAATAGTTCAGCATTCCCCTCTACCCTAATGAAAAGAACACTGAGATCAAATCTACAAAGGATCTCCCTCTCTCAAGTTCTTGAAACTAGCCTATTGCAATACTGTCATTAATCTAAACTACTATTTACTTAACAAATATTTATTGACTACACACTGCACCAGGTATTATGTTAGGTACTATGAGTTGAGGACAAAAAATATAAGTAGACATTATCTCTGTCTTCTAAATGCTTACATATAATTCTCCTCTCATTAAAATTTCTGTTACCATTTCTTAAGTAACTACTTCAGTGTTCATTAACCTAGAATTCTACTGTTTAATATAGTGGCTACTAGCCATATGCGACTCTTGAGCACTTAAACTCCATAACTGGCACGAACTGAACTGAAATGTTTTCTAAAGATAGAAAACAAGGGTTCCAAAGACTGAGTATGAAACAAAGAATGTAAAACATTTCATTAATAATGTTTACAAAAAATATTTTAAATGATATATTATTAGAATTATATATATAAATGATATATTATCAAAATAATTTTATCTGTTTTAAATAACTAGGAAATATTAAATTATATGTGCCTCTCATTGAAAGCAATTATTTAGGCTATAACTGCAATGTTTGGGAAATGTTAGAAAATAAGAAAGTCTATAAGAAGCTAACCTTTGATAATTAAAATCAACACAGCAATAATTGGGATGAATTAAAAATAAACCATAATTTATTAGACTTTTAATAATCTTTATAAGTCATATCAGAAATCATTTTGTTCAACCTTTCCATTTAACATATAAGAAAACTGAGTCTCAAAGTAGTTAAATAACCAATATCACACACACACAAAAAAATGAGGATAATAAATCAAAGGCATTTCTGTGTATCAGTGACAAATCCTCTGAAAGGGAAATGAGGGAAAACTACCCCATTTACAATAGCCTCAAAAAAAAAAAAAAATACACACACTTGGGAATCAACTTAATGAAAGAACTCTACAATGAAAACTACAGAATGTTAAAGAAAGAAATTAAAGAAGACCTTACAAGATGGAAAGAGTTTCTCTTGCTCTTGGATAGGAAAAATTAATACTGTCAAACTGACCATACTACCAAAAGCACTATCCATACTTAATGCAATTAAATCAAAATCCCAATGTCATTCTTTATAGAAACAGAAAAAATAGTCATGAAGTTCATCTGGAAAAATAAGAGACCCAGAAAATCTAAAGCAATCCTTAACAAGAGTGAAGCAGGTGGCATCACTATACCAGACCTTAACCTATACTACAGAGGAACATAACAAGAACAGCATGGTATTATCACCAAAACAGACTTGTAGACCAATGGTACAGAATAGAGGACACAAAGACTAACCCATATAATTATCGTTATCTTATATCAGACAAAGGTGCAAAAATGTTCATTGGAGAAAAGGTAGCCTCTTCAACAAATGGTGCTGGGAAAACTGGAAATCCATATGCAACAAAATGAAATTAAACCCCTATCTCTCACCATGCACAAAACTCAACTTAAAGTGAATCAAAGACCTAGGAATTAAATCAGAGACACTGCATCTATTAGAAGAAAAGGTAGGCCAAAATCTCCATCATGATGGATTAGGCTCAGACTTCCTTAATAAGACTCCAATAGCGTAAGAATTAAAATCAAGAATCCATAAATGGGATGGATTCAAATTAAAAGGTTCTTCTCAGCAAAGAAACAATCAGTGAGGCAAACAGAGTGCCTACATTTGGGAACAAATCTTTACCACATGCACATCAGATAGAGCACTAATCTCTAGGATATATAAAAAACTCAAAAATCTCAACACCAAAAAAAAAAAAAACCCAATCAATTAATGGGCTAAGGAACTGAACAGACACTTCTCAGAGGAAGATATTTTATTAATCAACAAATATATAAAAAAAAATGTTCAACATCTCTAGCAATTAGAGAAATGCAAAATAAAACTACTCTAAGATTTCATCTCACTCCAGTCAGAATGGCAGCTATTAAAAATACAAACAACCATCAAGTGTTGGTGAGGATGTGGGGAAAAAGGCACACTCATACATTGCTGGTGGGACTGCAAATTGGTGCAGCCAATATGGACAACAGTATGGAGAAACCTTGGAAAACTGGGAATGGAACTACCATTTGACCCAGCTATCTCACTCTTCAGTCTATACCCAAAGGACTTAAAAACAGCATACTGTAGGGACACAGCCACATCAATGATTATTGCAGCACAATTCACAATAGCTAAACTGTGGGACCAATCTAGATGCTCTTCAGTAAATGAATGGATAAAAAATATGTGACGTATATACAAAATGAAATATTATTCATCATTAAAAGAGAATAAAATCATGGCATTTATAGTAAATGGATAGAGTTGGAGAATATAATGCTAAGCGAAGTTAACCTATCCAAAAAAAATCAAAGGCCGAATGTTTTCTCTGATTTAAGGATGCTGATTCATAATGTGGTTGGGAGGTGGGCATGGGAGGATTAGGACAAAGCGGAGGGAAGAGAAGGGAGGAGATAGGGGATAGGAAAAAAGGTGGAATGAGGTGGACATCATTACCCTAAGTACATGTATGAAGACATGAATGATGTGACTCTACTTTGCATACAAGCAGAGATATGAAAAATTGTGCTATTTATGTGTAATATGAATTGTAATGCATTCTGCTGTCATATATAACAAATTAAAATTTTTAAAAAATGAGGACAAGAGTCTAGTGGCTGAGGCTGAAACACAGATAAGTAGCCACAATTCTGGGGATAAAATATTCATTCTACAGTATTTGCTTTATGTTTTGTACTTAAGATTCTTCCCACAAAACGCCTGTAAATTATAGAGTAAAAAGTGAAAAGAACTTTTACATATTATAATTTTGAATCCTTAGAAAAATGAACCTCTTTTAAGTTTTAACTCTGAAAATGGAAATTGGCTTTAAGGTTCTGACTGACTTAAATATTCTATAGCTTCAATTCAGTACTCACATATCATCTAAGTGTTGGCTGACAACAAAATTCTAAAAAATATTAAGTTGGATCTCAGACTAAGCAATAAAACAGAACTTGAAGAATAAAATAAATGCTTTCTCATAGATAGAAAATATTGTATTACATGATAGCTATCTGTAACCAAGTAATACCCATCTAGGAACTAGAGTAGCCTCTCTCATCATTTTTACATTGATTTTTTAAAACTGAAACCATAAATGCCCCTATAATCACTAAAGGATACTCTTCTTCCAACAACATTTTCTCAATGACAGCTCTGTTCTCTTCACTGATGGTGCTATCAAGAGTCCAAGGCTATTTAAAAAAAAAAAAAAAAAAAGGATTAAGAACACATATTTTTATTATGTTTTGGAAATATTTTTCATGTTTTAGTAAACAAAAATATATAATATTATAATTACAAATAATAACAGCTACTATGTATTGAGTGCAGACATCTTTGATTCTCACAAAAATTATGAGATAAAACTTTATGCTCACTGATAGCACTGTAGCATTTTAGGTGGAAGAAAGAGTTCTTAAACCAGCACTGTCAAATTCCAAGGCTCATGTTCCTCCCCACAATGAGATAATAATGGCTATTATATATGAGGAGTTATTAGGCATCAGATATCTTACTAGACACTTAACAAATTTCCAAAACTTACAATTCTTTTTTTCCCTCAGCCACAATCTCTCCGTGGATGATCATGCATATTTTCAACTCCAAAGTTATAAATTAACAGCTCATATATGTTCTCCAAGCTTACATCCAACTGTTCACTCAAGATTTATCTTGGATATAATTGGCTTTTCAAATTTAACATATTCAAAATGAAACTTACCATTACACATCTCCAACTGCTTCTTCTGTTGCTTTTCCATCATCGTAAAAGGCATTACTAGACACTAAGTTCCTCCATCTAAAAACCCAGTAATTATTGTGGATTCTTTCTTTTCCCCAGTCTCCATATTCAATCTGCCAACCAGCTCTACCTCCAAAATATAATTCAAATCTGTTAATGTCTCTCTCTTTTGCTACCACTAGGGACAAGCCATCATCATAAATCTTACTTAGATTACTTCAAATGTTTCCTAACTGGTCCCTTTGATTCCACTCTTGCTTCCCCTCCAATCTAATCTTTACCCTAGCATCCCAAATTAATTGTATCAAAATGAACTTACACATTTGAATAGAATCTATACCCTAAATTAACTGTATCAAAATGAACTTACCCATCTGTATAAAATCTATGTAAAGTATTTCAATGATGATTCAGTTCTCTTAAAATAAAATGTAAGCCCTTTAGCATAATTTAACTCACAAGCCCTAAATGAAAAGAGTTCTTACCTGCTTTCACACCTCTCTTTCCCACTATATTCTAGACATGGTATAGGGCTCCTTCCTTCAACCAGAGCTTTTGCAGTTGTTATTCCTTTTACCTAGAATTCTTTTCTTAATTCTTCACATATCTCCCCATTCTTCCTATTAATTTTTAGCTTAAAATATCACCTCCCCAGCTTCTCTCATTGACAATTTATCTCAAGGAGGCTCCCCACCCTGGTCTTCTCATCAGCACTTTATTTCCTTCATAATCTACAAATGGTTTGCCTACTTATCACCTCTCTCTCCTATTGAATGAATACAAACTCTTTGAAAGTAGGACCACATCTGTCTTGATTATAGCTGTATTCCTAAACCTGGACTAGTGTCTGGCATATAGTAGATATTCAATAAATAACTGATAAATAAAGAAATGAAAGTAGGGTTAATCCCCACTGTTTACTTGAAGAAACAAAGGTTCACAAACCTGAGAAGTGGCAGAGTCAAGAATTTGTACCTAAATCCAACTGGCTCCAAACTTGTTTCTCAATAGGACATTTTTCAAAATTGAAAGAAAAATGAGGTTTCTTCCATTATGAAAGTAAGAAAAAAGTTCTTATGTATTATCTATGTTATTTCTGAAAACTAGCCCTCTGTTAAAAATAAGAAAGAGGCACTCTGGGCAATGATAACAGTTTCATACAATACTTACAATAAGGCCATTCTCATTTCTCCATGATGAGTCCAGATAGTGATCTTGTAAAAGTGATGCTTTATTTTCATCATTTCTGTAATAATTAAGAAAATGGCTATAAGAGATAAGTATTGGTTAATGCCTATAGCTCATACTCAGGGACTCTGGTGTAGGTTTCTTTCTCCCCTTAAAAAGATTTAATATAGCAAAAATGCCTACTGTACCTCCTTGGCCTATAAGGAAAAAAATACTGCCAGGCAACAACCACAATATACTCTGTGGCCTTGAAGTACCACTTCAGTTTTGACTCGTGTACCCATATGTGTAAAAGAACTCAACTTTGTAATTATACCTTTTAACTATATCTAAACCATAAAAAACTTCCATCTATAGCATCAAACTCAAAATGAAGAAAAAAAAAAAAACTAGATAGAAAAATCAAAATAGAAATTACTAAATGAAGTTTTAATGACATCCCATACATTTTTCTTTTTTGTAATGGGGATTGTACCAAGAGATACCTCACCACGAGCTACATGCCCAGTCCTTTTTATTTTCTAAGACAGGGTCTCACTAAATTGCTGATGCTGGCCTCAAACTTGCTATCCTCCTGCCTCAGAGTCCAAAGTCGATGGGATTACAGTAGTGTACCACCACACCTAGTTCTACTCATATAATTTTTAAAAATTAATTTGGGTTATTTGGAGGTCTTCTATGACCATCAGGGAATAAAACTTTATTAATTTTCTCACTCCTTTCATTGTACTAACAAGTTACAAAGTACACTACATAAGTAAAAAGGCTGGCTCATTAAGTTTTCAGGACCACAAACTGTGATATAATTAAATTTAATATTTTGCTTTTGTACACTTGAAGTTACAAGTTTTCTAGTAATGACTTTTCCCTGGCCAAACTTTTCCCCAGGTTTAAATTCAAGGACCAACTCTGATCTGGAAGAGGCTAAATAAAGGATTCTGTCTCTTGTATCAGCAAAAGGAAATCTTTGCCCAAATAATTAGGTCTACCAAGTGTATGGGAGTTGGGACTATTATCATTTCAAGTTCACTGCACAAATCTCTTCACATAGTACTCTCTAATAGGAAGGATTAGCAATATCTATGCTCTGGTGTATGTATATGAACACTACCCAAATCTTCATACATAACACAAATCAACATGTGTAAGACTAAAATCACTTTTTCTTCCAAATCTGTTACCCTTCCATTGTTCTTTATCCCAGTTAATTGCACCATCTCCTCCCTGGTTATCCAAACCAAAAGTCTGAATCTGCCGCCGTTCTTTTTTCACAATCCTTATTCAGTCTGCTTGACAATTCTATTGTTTCTCCCTTTTCCAAACCTAGTCTTTCCACTGTATTCATACTTAGTTTGAGATCTCATAGTTTCAGACCTTACAGTTTTTCTGCCTAAGTATAAGAGATAAAGCCAACAAGCTATTCATCTTTCATCTTTTCTTCACTTTTTTCCATCTGTCACTATAAAACGTTTACTGTGTATCTTATCCAACAGGAATATTAGTTCTGTATGAGGAGGGACTTGGTTTTTACAACAGCTATATACCTAGGCCTGGCGGGCGTGTACATGGTGCCAAATTGACACTTGATTGAATGAACAAAGTAGGTGGGTCACAAATCACACAGGTCTCTAGTAGGGAACTGAAGATTCATCACAAAACCAATTGGAGACTGAAGGGAATAATATTCACATTTGGTAAGAAAGACTATCTTTAGTAAAGAATAAAGGGGGTCAAGGAGACAAAGACCAGTAAAGAAATGATTATAAAAATACCAAAAAAAAAAAAAAAAAGGTGGCAGCAACTTATACCTAAGGAACAAACAGTGTGACCAGAAGTAAATACATTTGAAAGGATATGTAAACAGAATGAACAGTTCCTTAACAACTAATAGAATGGGAAAGTAGTAAGAGTTAAAGTTTTAGATCTGTGTCTTATATGACCGGATGGATGGCTGCCAGTGCCACTTAGTAAACTAGGAAACATCAGAAAGGCAGGTCTGGTGGAGAAAGTTTGTAAGTTGAGATTTAAGTACTTGTGGGACATCTAAGTGCTGACAGATTCAGAGAGTTGAGTAAATTACTCTGAAGCTCAGGAGGAAGATTTGGGTTAGTGACAGATTTGGGAGATATTAGCGTGTATTAGGTTCAAGTTAGGGAACTTTCATGGAAGAATACTGGTAAAATTTCATATGGAGCATCTAACAAAAATTACGTTTTAAGAGATGGTATCACCAGTGACTATGAAGAAGCAGAAGACCTATGACAAATCCCTTTTTTAATATTGTCATTTAAAGAACAAGCAGAAGAAAAGGAAGACAAGAAAGAACGATAAGAACAGAAGGAAAACTAAAATGCCATCTTTTAATTTTGGTACCTAGCACTCAGAAAATGGTTAAAAGCAGTATGCTTTAAATTTATCTTCAAGAATTCCACAAATGCTATTATCAGCTGTAATTACACACTTCAGGGGGCACCAGTTATACTAATTCCAGATGACTGTAGCCCCATTTACAAGAACATAATGTCAATAAGGCTCCTTGGAATCACATAAAGCAATGAATCTGACCATCAGGAGCCAATAATCTTTGTAGTTCTGTTTGTATGAGACAGATTGAAGAGCCACCACTACACCTAAGGCTGAAAAAACAGGAAGGAAGAAAACGAGAAAAGGGAGAAAAATTAAACACAATCAGAAAAATTAAGATAAACCATGAAAGAGGCATAGAGCCAAAATCCTCAGATGATCTTCCAAGGCAAACTCATTTCCTTATGGACTGCAGATTAAGTATCTCTGTCCACTTATTTCATTGACTTGTTATGAAACATAAATTAAATCAAGCATTCAAAAATACTTTAAAATTTAAAGCCTACACAAATGTGAACAATTGTTATGAAAGACTTCCTACTTATCTGTATAGCTTCGGGATGCTCTGCATAAAGATCCATATTCCTCACATTTTTATAGTTCTTTAGAATTCACACTTGAAACTCCCTATCTTAGTGCCTCATGGTCAAGGTGGCACTTTCTCCTTCTGAGCCCTGATATCAAGAGGAATCACATGAAATTGCCACTTCACATGTCAAAAATGGCCTATGTAACGTAACTCGATGCAATTAGAACATAGATCTGATTCCTATTTTGTATAGACTTGAAAGGGACAGGGAAACCGAAGATGGTGTCTTGGGCCATTACTGAAAGGAGGCACATTTCTTACTTTGAAAGCAGAGGCGCATAGGAGGTTGTTTCAAACCATAACATCCTGTTCTGCAGGAATAGGTACTAAAGTAAACCATCCCCGAGGATGAGGACTCATTTGATCTTCACAACGACCTTACGAGGTATACATCATGACCCCCAACTTACACACAAGCAGTCTGAGGCTCAGACAAGTTAAGCGTCTTGCCCAAGGTCACAAGGCTGGTAGAACCAGCAAAAGCAGAAGGAAAGTCCAGAACTGTCCAGAACTCTAAAATCTGACCCCTTTCCTTTAACTCATGCAACTACCCCTATGTAGAAAAATGAACGAAACGACTCGTCCAAGGTCGCACGGATAGCAAGCGATGGAAGATGAGTCCCTGAGCTCAGGTCCGGTCTACTAGGTGCCCTCATTCTAGTTACTAATGGGCAGATTCTGAGGCAAAGGGAATGCAAGAAGGCATCTGAATTGTGGGAGCAAGTGCAATAAGCTAAGAGAAAACTGCTCCCTCACAGTATCTCTGTAAAAAAGTTAAAGAGCCATGCGGACACTTGAGTACCTGAGCTCAAGTACCATTCAGCTGGGCTCAGGGCAAGCTAGCGGGCGGAACCCGCGCTTCGACTTCCGGGACCAGAGGAGACTCTGGCCCAACACACCATCTTCGGTTTCCCTGTCCCTTGCCGGACCCGCAGCCAAGGATCCACGGTCCTCCCCTCGCATCTGTGCCCGCCCCCATCCCGGGGAGACCCCCGTCTCTGCGCCTCACCCTGGCGGTGCCGCCGCCGCCGCAGCCACCACATCCCCTTCGATATCCACATCTGCCTCTTCCGCAGCCATCATGGCACCTGACCCCGTCAGTCTTCCCGAGAGATACCGCGAGAGGTGGCGCGCAGGGGGCGGGGCCGAGGTCGTTTCGTCACGGGGCGGAGTTGAAACCTCGCCCCGAGCTAGGGAGGCGGGACTATGAGAGGAACTGGGTCTCCAAAGGCGGAGTTTTGGTTTTAAATGTTTTGACATGTAAAGAGATCTAGGAAAGTCACCCAGGCAGAACTTCTAGGAGCTTGTGTTCCAGGACAGATTCTTTGATGCCTCACTTCTCTCATGTGTGCAATGGGGATACCAGCAAGTATCTTTCTAGTCAGATGAAAAAGTCAAATCGGACCTACTTTGTGAACTCCTCGGGAGGCAAAGGTGAAGGACACATTTGGGCTGGTTAAATATCTCTCTGTCGCTCTCTTTCTGGAAAACTTGACTTGTGTGAAGTGCAGAAAGACTTACATTTCAAAATGTAACAAAAATATATTAATATAACTTATGGTTGTGTTTTTTATGGCGATCTTTACAATTTAAAAATCACTCTCATGACTGTTAATCCTTATAATAACCCAGTAAGGCAAGCAAGGCCATATCATCAGTTACACTTCACAGATGAAAAACTGAAGCTCAGAAAATTAACATGATTGCCCAAGGACAGCTCAAGGAATTCAGATCTTTTTGACTCTTCCCTAAGTGTTCACTGCATATAAATCACCATTGTTAGGAGCTCTTGAGGATAAACACCATTTCTGCCAAAAATTGATGGCTTTTCAAGAACTTAGACATTGCCCCTTACACATTCCTTTACTTACTTCACCAAGGATTCCCATTGACTCATTTGTCTTCATCCCCCCCACCCCGCCCGGTTATGAATACTTGAAGGATAAAAACCGTCTGATAGTCCTTAAACTACCAACATTCAGCATGGTGTCAGGAGTGTAGTAGTGCTCAATAAATGTTGAAGAAGTGAATGAGTCAGCAAAATGAGCTTATTTCCCACATCATTCTTAATTTGTCTCATCTCATTTTTGTTTGTTCTCAGAGAATAAGGTGGGCTGAACCATGAATGTAATGGAAAGAAGATGGAGAGAAAGATTTTTAAAGATGAGAACCCAGTGCTCAAAAACTGAACAGTGTGAGGGCCCATTCTCAGGCCACCTGAAGGTGCCCTTCTGTTGTCAAAGCTCTTATCCAGTGACCAGCTCCCATGCAAACACCATGTCTGTACAGAGTAGATATTTTAAAGTGTCTGTTTAACTTAATTTAGAGCAGATTTAGGATTTGTTATACATGGACTAGATAGTTAAAAAAAATGTTAAATAGAGCTGGGTGCAGTGGTGCATACCTGTAATCACAGCAGCTTGGAGGGGAGGAAGGATTGCAAGTTCAAATCCAGCCTCAGCAACTTAGCAAGACCCTGTCTCTAAATAAAATATTTAAAAAGCCTGTAAATGATGTTGCTCAGTGGTTCAGCGCCCCTAGGTTGAATCCCTAGTGGAAGGAGGAGAAGGAGGAGGAGGGGGAGAAGGGATGTGCCTTTCACTGACATTTACACACCAGGTCTGGATGAGGACCCTGGCAACACTGGAAATTTGTTGTATCAAATTAGATACAACAAATTAGTTGTATCCTAGAGCATGATACACAATACTGTGTGAACAATGTCTCCTGAAGGCTTTGCTAGTCCAGGACCCTACAATGGTAGGCATTGAAATATAGATGGAAGGAAGGAAAGCTGGGCGTAGAATTCAGATACACTCCAAGTCATCTCAATGCCTCCCTCGATGGAGTCCTTTGTTAGGAAAAAATATCAATTGAAATCCATCCAATACTGACATGGCTATTACACTCACCACACCAGAACATTAAAACATTCTTCATAACTGTATCGTGTAAGTTCAATAAGTTAATAGAGGCACGGAAAATACAAAAAGGATAAAATTCAACTTCTGGGGATGAAAACTATAATGTGTGAGATGAAAAATACACTATCAAGATTGATGACATGTTAGACATTGATGAAGAAAGGATCAGCAAACTTGGATACATAACAAAAAGAGACCAAAAAAAAAAAGGAACACACAGAGAAATAAAAAAATTAAAAAATGAACAGAGAATCCATAAAGGAACTTCAAGCATCTCAGTATGTATGCAATAGGAGTCTCTAAAAAGCAGGGGTAAGGGATCATAGAAAATATCTAAAAAAAATAATGCCTGAAAAGAATGTCCAAATTAGAAGAAAACTATAATCTCATAGATCCTAGAAACTGAAGAAACTCCAAGCAGAAGAAAATAAATAAAAAATATACTAGGATCCATTATGATCAAATTACTCAAAACCAATGATAAAGAGGAAATTTTGCCAAAGGAAAAAAAAAAAGGCATGTTACCTATGTAGGGACAAAGAATGACATCAGATTTCTTGTTGAGAACAACGAAAGCAAGAAAACCTAAAAGCAACATCTTTAAAGTAGAGAAGGCGGGAGGGTAGCAAATCACTTCACTTAAAATTCTATGCCTAGTAAAAATACTTTTCAGGAGATGAAGGCAACCTAAAGACTTTTATATGATATACAAAATCGGAAAGAACAAGAAACATTAGAGGACATCTAATCAGGCAGAAGGAAATTACGTAAGATGGAAATATGGATCTACACGGAAGAATGGAGATCAGGGATAACAACTACATAGGTACATATGCAAGATTTTTTCTTAGCACTTAAATCTCTTTAAAAGAATATTAGCCATTTAAAAATAATACCAATATACTGTGAGATTCATAACATATAAGTAAATAAAATGTGTGACAACAATGTAAAATCTAGGAAGAAAGACGTGCAAACACAAAATTTTAAGGTTCTTACACCATACAAGAAGTAGCATAATAGCCCTTGAATATGCATTAGAAATTATAGTATAAACCCTTGCACAATTACTAAAATAACAAGACCATGTTTGAATGTTAAAAATTGAAAAATACATTAATAAATTACTTGCAACTTTTTAAGTAATAAAAGGGGGTGATTATTAACTTGCTAAGGGACACAGATCTAGGAAGTAATGGAGCAGGAATTCAAAGGGGCAAAGATATTATTTTTCCTACCCCAGACTGTCTTTCATGTGTGTGTGTGTGTGTGTGTGTGTGTGTGTGTGTGTGTGTGTACACATATGTATATCTTCAGAGTTAAGTAGGAAGACCACCTCATCAGTGTAGAGATGGTCAAGTAAATGTAAAGAAATGGAAGGACATTTAGGCCTGAATGAATGTGCACAGTTAAGTTCACAGTGATAGATGCTGCCAATTCCTTTCCAAGCAATGTTGAAGAAAAAGGAAGCTGGAGTGTTACAGGTTGCTGGTTCTAATATGGCAGAAGATTCTAATATTTTCTGTCTCATTGGTCTAATCATGTATGCTCTGATAACTCCTATGGTAGGAGGATGATTTTTTTTTCTTTTTATTGTTTTATTCCTATGGACTACATCAGTATTAGTTTCATAGCAAGCATTCAATAAATATTTGTTGAATAAATGATCAAAAAAGAGACCAACCAAAATGAACACAGAGAGGAATTTAAAAAAAATTAAAAATCCATGGAGAATCACTGAGTTGCAAGGCAAATTCAAGTTCCCCCAGTATATACGAATTTGGAGTCTCTGAAAAGCAGGGATGAGGGGTTTTGCCCCTGTATGAAGCCTCCTTGTTCTAACTCCAGATTCAGAAAGCCATAAACCTACATATATTATGACTTATCTTTTCACAAAGCAAGAGAATGGACAGATCATACTGATGCGAGCTTTACAGACAGGTGGCAGTTACAATTCTTGATGCAAAGAACAACTTGGCAGGCTGGTAGGCCAATCAGTCTTGTGAGCCTTTCAAGTAGTACGAGTCACTGGGGTCTGGGCTCTTTGCTCATGGAGAGGCAAGCCAGTCTGCAGGCTCTTCAAGCATGTGTGCTCCACACATCCCTCCACTATCTGACCTTGTCACGTCACTTTTACTATTTTTTTCTTGTTTATTTACAAAAAAGCAGAGGGCAAAATGGTTAAATTCAAGCTAGTTGTCTCTGCAATTAACAGTTTGCTTCCTTTAAACAATGTTAAAATTAAAGTCTTAAGGGGGATCATATATTTAGATTTTTATTTTTGAAATTAACTTTTATTTTTACTCTTAATCCTCTTAAAATGTCATTATATATTTAAAAATGCATAATGCTTATATAGAAAAGAACATTTTTATTCGTTCTGATTCTCTGTTTTCCTGCAAACTGAATGAATATTGGGGTAATTTTAGACTGTAGGGGGAGAAAGATGAATTATGGATAGAGAGGATGTGTCAAGCCAATATGAACACTTGCCTATCCCAAATATCATGTAATGCAAGGTCTTCTTTGACCCTCCTAGGATTCCTGCCAAGAAAGTATTATCATCCCCAGATCAGGTAACTTAAGATTCAGAGAGTGATGACTACGTAGCTAGTGAATATCAGAGCTGGAATTCCAACCCAAGTCTTTCTGACTCTGTACTGACTCAAGTATACTTTCTTTTTTCTTTTTTTTAAGTTGTAGGCCCAATACCTTTATTTATTTATTTTTTATTCATGTGTGCTTAGGACCGAATCCAGTGCCCCACACATGCAAGGCAAGCACGCTACCACTGAGCCACAATCCCAGCCCTCAAATATACTTCCATATTAGTTACAGTTTGGATTTGAAATGTCCCCCAATGGCTCAGGTATTGAACACATGTTCCCCAATGCAGCAATGTTCGGAAATGGGGCTTTTTGGAGGTGATTGGATCATGAGGGCTTTAATCTTTTCAATGGAATAATTCACTAATAGATTCATAGCTAATAGACTACTGGAAGATGGTAGAAACTGTAGGAGGTGAACATAGGCGAAAGGGGTGGGTTTCTGAGAATGTGCCCTGGAAGCTTGTGTCTCATCCCCAGCACCTTCCTCTCTTTCTCAACTTCCTGGCTACCATGAGTTGAACAGCTTTGTTCCTCCATTCCCTTCTGTCATACTGTCCTGCTTCACCACAGGCTCGGAAACAATGGA